GTGTACCAGGGATTGAACTCAGGACCTTGGGCTTGCAAGGCAGGTGCAGTGCCACTGAGCTAAATCCCTGGTCCCAAAAGTTTAGGATTCTGAGTTAATTTTAGCTACTCTAGTATGGTGAAGAATTGCCTGAGTTTGGTAAAATGCAGCTTCCCCAGTTCTGCTTCTCCTAGGTATAGGGTGGGGGTAGGAATCCTCATTTTAGCAAGTGCCTCTCTCTCCTCTCCAACTGTGACACTGACATTTTAATGAACATGGCTGGGATGTTGTAAGAAACAGGCCATCACCATCCCTCTGGCCATTACCTTTATGCTTGTTTTTTTGTTTTGTTTTGTTTTGAGACAGGGTCTCGCTTTGTAGTTCAGGCTGGCCCTGAACTCACTATGTAGCCCAGCCTGGCCTTGAACTTCCAGGGATCCTCCTGCCTCTGCCCCCTGAGTACTGGGATCACAAGCATGTGCCACCACACCTGGCCTGTCACCATTATCTCTTAAAGATCATTTCTGAAGGTTTAAGACAAAAACAATGGAGAACATTAAGGCAAAAGAGCAGTGCTGAATGATGCAGGGCCCACGTGGGACTGACCCTGTCCGACCTTCCTGTTGCAGCCTGAGCCACTGTGGATCAGGAAACCCATCTCCAGGTAAAGGAGACCGGACAAGTTTGTAATCTGTGAGCTCTCATTGCCTATCTTTGCTAGAGAATACCATCACATGCACCCTAGGCAATAAAACAAGGCCTCACATGTACTCCGCTGCTCACACTCGTGATGAAAGCAGCGCTGACTCAAGGCCACCAGCAAACACATCCCCGGCACACTGAGACCTTGCACTCAACATGCGAACTTGCGGGGGGCTCTTGACTCAAGAGTCCAATGAGGCCAACCACACTTGGTAAGGTCTCAGATGAGCCTAGCAAGTGGCACTGGTGTCGACATTTTTTCTAGGCTCCAAGTGATGTGGATTTCAGGCACAGGGGGCTGCATGGTATCTGGAGAAATAATGTCTTCCAACACTGATCTGGGCAAGCCGAGGTGCTGCCAAGCCAGGAAGGCTCCAGAATGTCTGAGGCCCCTGTGAGTGGCTCCCCAAGGATACACAGGCCCTGGCCCTCACAGACACTGTGGGAGAGGGGACACTCCCAGACTGTGACAGCTCTGGTGGCAAACTGAGTGGGACTCTGAAAGGGGCCCGTGGTGACAGGACAGCTGGCAGACAGCACCCATCGCTAATGCACTTGTCACTGCCTCAGGGAGGACACCGCTGTAGCCTTTGGTTCCCTCTCAGGACAAGAAGAAAATTTTGTTTTATCTCTGAGCTGCAGAAAAGGATTCACTCATCCGCCTAACAGTGCAAACTTCAAAGATGTCTATTTTACTCACTTATTCAGTGTGGAGACATAAGGGAAATCATATTCTTGTTGTTAACATAAACACTGCCCTTGGGATGGTATTTACACAAAGAATACTGTACTTCAGAGACTGTGATGTCCTAAGAAGGTGGGCTTTAATCTCAAAGAGTGGCTGTCATTCTTACGGTCTCCTCCTTGATAGCTGTCTCATGGTGATGATCTTCTCACTGGCACTATATTCCTACAAGCAGGATGCTTTTGCCAGCCCCCATGAGGATCACAGGTCTGGGCCTCTTCTGCACCCATGGCAGACAGGACTGTTGGAGTCTGACTCAAAAAGTCTTTGTTTCAGACAATCAGCCAGTGCTTCCTAAATACCTGCCCTGGGCCATACTCTGTCTGCTGTCTTTATTGGAATTTAAAAATAAAAATTTTTAAACCCTGGCCTTTGCCATCAAGAAATTTACCATCAGCTGAGAAGTCAATACTTTAACATGGACTGTTCTCCAATAGATAAATCAGTGTAAGACTGTAAGCCCCCTGTGGGGAGGCTCAGGCCAAAGGAGTGACTGAAGTGAATGTGAAAAGGGACCTTGGGAACAGCAGTCCCCGGCTCCCAGAATGCATGATTGAGTTCAGAGGAGATCTGCAGGACAACAGTCAGCAGAATTTAAAGCGAGTTATTCTCAGAGATGTTTGCTTTGGTCAGTGTGATCCTTCAGCCCCAATAAGCTTGCTTAGATTAGATCAACATGTGTCACATAGCAAGCCATCCCATTCCTTCTCTGTCCCATGACCAAAACTAAACAAATGTTGCAAATGTTTTTCTTCTGCACCTTTGTTCTCACCTCGAGTTACAAATAAATATCCACAGAGGCTCTACCCTGGGGCTGTTTCCCTGAGGCTTTCTCTTTCAGAGAAGCAGCCTCTCTGGGCTTCTCTCTCAGTGATTAAGTCTTGCCTCTGAGTAATCATTTTCCTGTGCACCACCTTGGTCACATACTGTGACACCCCCAACTAGGCCACCACATACAAGCCTGGCTTAGCATCACCACTCCAATCTCCCCAGACAGCTGTCAGCCATTATGAACAGGAAGCATACCACAGACACACTGGGGTAGGGGCCAGCTGCCAGGAGGCCACCAGAGGGGCAGCACAGAGAGATTCCAGGGCTGGAGTCTTGACACTGCCACCTCCATGCTGTGAGGCTGTCAGTACATTTCTTACCTCTGCTTCAGCATTCCATTTTACAGAGGAGAAAACAGTACCACATCAGAGGATGTGGTAAGAACTCGGAAGTGAATGGGTGTAAAGCAGCCAGCACAGAACTTGGCCAGTACCACAGGCTCAGCAAACATGAGCTGCTATCGTTGTTATTGTTGATAGTACTGTTACTGTGATCACCTCCCATCAGGCCTGGGGGTGCCAGCTATGCCAGGACTCCGAGTCACGTGAGAAGAGCACCAGTCCTTTGTGTTCCCTCCTCTGAACCCTAACGTCTCTCCTTAGGATCTGACTGCCCTTCTTCCTGTCCCTTCTCTGCCGAGGCCTCTGCGATGGCTCCCAGGTCCGGTAGGGTAAGTCACACCTGCTCCCCAGGTGCTCCGTCCTGGGGGACGATGGGGCAGCTCACCAGCTCGGATTCAGATGTGGGACAGCCACAGCCCAGAGCGCCAGGTCTGATTCTCAGAAGAGAAATGCCATCATGGCCAAGGTCCCTCTTTTTGCCTTCCCCGCTTTAGATGGAAGAGGAATTGTCTTGGGTTGCATATAAAATATATAATATACTTAATGTACATAAGTGACAAAACTTCCTTTTTAATATTTATTATAACCAGGAAAGAAAAAAAGGTGGGCCGCAGGTAAGACATGCCTGCCGGTAGCCTTGGGTACTAGTATATCTGTGACTTCCTCCAACAGAAATGCAGAAACCACTGCTACTTTCAGATCACGTTACCAGTACTGTAGGTGTCTTAAAATTTGTCTTTGGGCTTGCCTCCTTCGAAAGTAAAATTGCATATTCATCACTAGATCTTATATTATTTAATGTGAATTTAAAAGCTTACATATTAGTATATCACACATTTAAAAATATTTTTATAAATTTCAATTCGGTTGGTTTCTTTGGTAATCTTGTATGTTTTGTGCATGAGAGATGCCACTCTGAGAAGGGGTCACAGGCTTTACAGCCTGCTACTGGGTCGACTCACTTGTCCTATGTTTTTTTTGGTACCGGGGATCGAACTTAGGTCCTTGCATTTCCGGGGCAGGCAGCAGAACCACTGAGCTAAATCCCCGGCCCCTACCCACTTGTCTTAGAAGGCTGAGTAGCACTGATAAGGGCTGCAGTATGAGAGAGGTGAAAGACGTGGAAATACTTACTGAATTGTGACATTATAATATTCTTCAGGTGTCACTATTTTGGGTCCACCAAAGTAGTCCATGACCCAGATATTGGTTATATTCAACTTAGCGAAGAACCAATTATGGCTGGAAGGCCAGGTTTTCATCTCGGGGTGACGAATGAACAATGAATGCTTTGCAAAGTCCATTTCTGTTTCATTCACCTAAAAGACAAATGTGAAATAAACATTCTAATAGCAATGACATTTCGTTTTCTCATTTGTTAAGAATGTGTGATTTTTTTAGGGGTCGGGGATTTAGCTCAGTGGTTTCGCCGCCTGCCGCGCAAGCACAAGGACCCGAGTTCAATACCCGATACCAAAAAAAAAAAAGAATGTGTGATTTTGGCACCTGACAAGTAATCTTGAGTTTATTTTGTAAATCTTGATCTTAAACTTAAGGAGTCAAGAGCACATAAAGGAAGGCTGAATTCTTCTTCTCATTACAGAGAACCATAATGATTTCAAATGTTGGTGATAACAGATATAGTGCAGTAGGAACCACCCTAAATACAAGTTCCCATTGCTAAACAGTAACTCTGAACTACTCAACTAACCAGTGCAAGGTATCATCATGAAGAGTCACGGGTCCCTGAGACATGTACACCTAACCTGTAAGCCACATGCATGTGTTAAACATGTAGATGAGCATACGTGAAGGGTAAAGATCTGGAGAAGCAGCACCGTGGAACTCACTGCTCTCCATCCTCCTGCCAGTGGAGGACAGTCAGTGATAGAGATGCACCTACTAAGAATCTCCAGGGCCGGGGATTTAGCTCAGTGGTTTCGCCGCCTGCTGCACAAGCGCAAGGACCCGAGTTTGATCCCCGATACCAAAAAAAAAGAATCTCCAGACCACAGATCAAATTTGTTGGAGGAATTCTTGACTAACAAGGTCAAAGAGCAAATCCACTGGCTCAGCAATTGGATCAGGGCTCAGGACACCTTGCCCACTGCCCTTCCTGTGAATGTATTTACATCCTGCCTCCAGCATTCATTCCAAACTCTCTAAACTCCCTTCGAGTTTTTAGTAACGGACACTCCTCTTAGTGGCCTCTTAATATGCTCTCTGCTCTATGCCACTGGGAAAATACGGTGATAGACAGCCTAGACATGGGAAATGTGGTGTCACGCTAAACAGGGCAGAGCAGTAAGCTCTGGCTGAGCCAATGTTCCTTAGCAAGAATAATTATATATGGGAGCTTAATACTTGCTACATCTGTTTGGCTTCAGAAAATAGTTCATGCTCCTCATAAACATCCCACTGAACACCTTCATGGCAGCAACTGATTAAACCATTAGGTTTCATGGAATTAGTTTACATATTAGAACATATCCTAACTGGGCATCTCCATCACAAATCAGTTGGATTATAGTCTCAAGAGATCTCTTCTTTCATTGCTCACACGATGATGTTCTTCTGAAGCCATGTGTCTTCACGTGGCTAACTACTTACCTTGGTCAGAGTTCCGGAAAGCATTATATGAGCACACAGGGGGCTCTGGGGATCAAACACATTCTTCTTGCAGAAGTCAGTCTGCGCCAAAGACATGGTCAGTGAGGCATGTGGATTCTCCTGCAGAGAGAAAATGAAGACCCTCTTGTGTAAAATACAGTTTCCAGAGAGGTAATAAATTTTTTGAGTTCCACACATAATGGCCCTAGAGCTGGAACATTCTTCCATGAAACAGTGCACTGTAAAACTCCACCTTCCACGCAGGGGGAAAATACCACTTGGATACAGACTGATTTGACCCTCTCAGGAGATTTCATGTTTAAAATTAACTGACTCTCTAAGAACTGTTTTAAAACACTATTTTCTTAAACTCAAAATCTGTTCCAAATACTTCAGAGGAATTATAAGTACAGTCAATACTTCCCAAATGTGAGGCTGGTAACAGACTTCGCTGAAATATCCAAACCAGGGTAAACCTCTAATATGAAACAAGTACATAAAAATACCACAGTTGCTTTTTGCCAGCTAATTACACAATTTGAGCAAGAAAGTAGCTGAATCATGGTGTGTGGTTATCTTCTGGTAGCAGGAACTGTCATGTGATATCAAAATTGAAGAAGTCACTCATTCTTGCTGCAAAAAAGAAGAGAATCTACATCTCAGATTCAAAATGTGAGACAAACAAAATTCTTTCCTATTCAGAAATCTTTTTTTTTTTTTTTGGTACCAGGATTGAACTCGGGTCCATGTGCTTCCCAGGCAGACATCGGAACCACTGAGCTAAATCCCTGGCCCTCCTATTCAGAAATCAGATCCATAAAGGCACTGTTGAAAGAACATTTCAAATAATACATTTCAGGCTATTTGGTTCTTTAAATCCTAAGTGTCTTTGTGAAGAATTTTTTGCCATTTCACAGTGATCCACCAAAAACAGTGAGTCCTGAGGAGATGTCCTTGAAGTCACTTAGCCAAAATATCTACTGTTTCCAAGCTTTTCGGCAAGGCAAGTCCAACTATAGGAGACCAAGTAAAGGGGGTCTCAGGTAAGGTCTCGCCCCGACCTGGTTGAGAAGTCAGAGATAATCAAAACTTAGATAATACAAAACAAAAATACAGAAGAGGTTAAAAAGCAGACATGAGCAGTAAAGTGTAGTCAAAGTTCAGTGTAAGGAGACGTCAACAATGCCTAGAGTGACACAGAAACAATAAGGGGTCTCATTCTCAACATCAGGACCTAAGTGGGGGACACATCAAAGGAAGAGAGGAAGGAGGAAGGCAGGGGACATAATGCATGGCAGTCAGAAACTTGCTGGAAAGAGAGGGCTGAAGCTGGTAAGGGTGGCTCCAACCCAAGCTAAGGGGCTCCAAGCGGTATTCTGTGGGCCACCATTAGGCAGTACTTCCCAAGACCCAGCTCTAAGGGGCACGGGTGCCATTCCCTACCCAGCCATCTGGATTTGAAACACCCCAAGTGATTCCCTTGGGGGAGAAGCAGTATGCTACATCCTCAGTCATTTTTGGGGGACAGGGGCTCATTAAGTTGCTAAATTGCCCAGACAAGGCTCAAATTTGCAGTCCTCCTGCCTCAGCCTCCCAGAGTGCTAGGATTACAAGTATGCATCACCATTCCTAGCCCCTAAATGATTCCTAGGCAGCAACAGCAGTAGGTAGAAGTTTCTGGGCAGCTAACACTGCTGTGAGGAATATTTTGTTCATGTAAATCTGGGGGGCAGAGTTTACAGGGCAGAAGATTTAAGTACTTTTTAGGCATGTGGTGATGAGGATTTACCCTAAGGATGGGGTGGTAAGGACGGAGAGGAATGGAAGCAAATAACACAAAAGAAAAACTGGCAGATTTGGGAACTGAGAAGCTCTGGAGAGGCAGTGGGAATTCCAATGTTTGCTGAGAGAATTCCATTCACCGAAATGCAGAAGCCCAAGGGAAGCTGATGTCGGGAGGAAGAACTGGATTTAAAAATACTGAACTTGAGGTAGCAGTAAACCAATGAAGTAAAAACAAGCAGCACCCAGTTAGAAATATAGAATTGAAGAAATGAAGCCACAAAAGCATTTATAATCTTCCAAGAATCAAGAGAACAGAGAGGCTAGAAATGGACTATGGGAAATATTGTTAGTGGATCAGCAAAAAAAATTGAGAGTGACCAGAGAAGATCGTATTACAGGAAAAAGGGAGGCCACTAGTTTGAGGCCTTGGTGTACACAATCAGATTCCAAGATTTCAGACATCCTGGCCCTGCAGCTGAAATTGATACTATCATAGATAGGTAAATTAATTAGATTATCTTATAGGCAGTTAGACAGGGCCCTCATGGAGCCAACACAGAGAGGAGCCCACATGGAGAACAACTGAGGCACATTCACCGGTCAGCATTACAAAAAGAGGCACCACTTCCCCTCGGGATAGATAGCAGTGATTGATATTCTAAATGGGAAATTCCTTGTATGTGACTTGTTTTCCCATTTGATCCCCATATAATCAATATTACCTGGGTGACTGTACTTGTAATCTTATTGGTTGGTCATGGTTTTGTCCCACCTCATGCCCACCTTGTAAATTTCCATTGGGTCTTACAGTTTTGTCCCACTTTGTACCCGCCTCATCACATGGCTTTGCTGTATAAAACCCCTTTGAAATGTGGGGTGGGTGGGCAGCCCACTTTCCGGTCCCCCTTCAGTCTCTCTTAGAAGCTATGTCTCTCTCAAGAAATTTTTCCTATTCTTAACCTCCACTGTTCCTAGAATTCATTCTTTGATTTTAGAGAACACGAACTCACACTTCGGATATCTAGCAGGTTTGGGAGTTACGTCTCTTCCCCCCCATATCAGTACCACTGCCACCTAATGCTTGCAACATCTCCGTGTAAGCATTTACTACACACAAATCTCACAGGGGGAAAAAAATAAAAAATGACCATCCTGGTGGCAAGTCCATTTGAACCTAGGAGTTACAGAGCACAGGTGTTTTACACAGGAGCAATGGTTCCAACCAGGGTCTTCGTGTCCCTTCCAAACTATTCCACTGAGGCCAAGAGATAGAAGGAAGTGAGGCAGACAGGGCAGAGACCCTAAGCACTGGAAACTGAAGGTCAGAGCTGAGTCAGCTGAAACGCAAAGGGCCTGAGGAGCTGAGTGAACTCTAAGGCACCTTGGAGGGTAAAATGTAAACAAGACAGCCCCCTTTCTGGGCACCAAAGGCAGCAAAAATCAGCCTCCCTAGTTCTTTTTTTGTTTTTTGGTACCAGGGATTGAACTCAGATCCTTGCACTTGCTGGGCAGGCTGTGGAACCACTGAGCTAAATCCCCAGCCTCAGCCTCCCTACGTTCTGTCACGTACACAGTACCAAAGATATAGAAAAGCCCCAGGGTCTACAATTTTTCCACCTTTCGGATGCCCCACAGTGTGTGGGGAACACTTTTCTTTTTTACTTTTTTTTTTTTGGTACCAGGGATCAAACTCAGGATCTTGCACTTGGGAAGCAGGCATTGGAACCACTTAGCTAAATCCCGGCCCCACTTTTGTTTATTCTTTCTAATAAACATGCATTCGGTTATTCCCCACTGCTTACTGTTTCAGTCTTGGTCACCTCAAAACAAGAACCCAGAGCAGGCGGGAGCTGACTACACAACCCCTGCCTCCCATTGAGAAGACCCTATGTGAATCCTGGTGGTCTAAAGGAGGAGGAAGAGGAGGGGGCAGAAACAAACTTCAGTGAACTGACAGGATCAGGTGCATTTTGATACTGTCATTTCTCACTGAGAGCATGGAAACCTGACGCCCAGAGGAGGTGCCTCACCATTGTGTTTCCAGAGTCATCAAATACCAGAGCTGATCACAGGTGACTCCTGTGCCTGAGTCACAGCTTCCCCATCTCTGCAACGGGCACGATGTCAGCAACTCCCCAGTCACTTCACAAATTTTTTTTGGTACGGGGGATCGAACTTGGGTCCTTGTACTTGCAAGGCAGGTGGCAGAACCACTGAGCTAAATCCTCGGTCCACCTCACAAATTTAAATCCAATCACAGATAGCAGTGACGCTCCATTTCTTCCCCCTTCCCCCGTCAGCAAGGTTGATGGCAAGAAGGTTGCAAGTTTATGCCCAGCCTGGATAACCTTAGTGAGACATTTCAAAATGAAAAGTAAGAAAGAGCTGGGGATGTAGATCAGTGCAAAGGTCCTAGGTTCAATCCCCACTCCCACCCTCCTCCAAAGTTCTAAATACAATGCCTTAGCCTTGCATTCTTCCCAGTACTGCGATCTGCAGCTACACTGGATATCAACGACTGGGTCTGCATCAAGCAAATGCCTAGGAGTGGTGTGGGCTGGGAAGAAGAAAACAGTGTACTGGGCTGTGTGTGCCTCGGCTAAGAGCCAGCTGCTTCAGTTTCTGCTCAAAAAATTCTAGATGTCCCATGTCACTTTTTCAAGAGAAGGTAGAAATTTAAACTTTTAAAAGTAAAATCTCAATTTGAAAAGGCTGGTACCAAATTCAAATTTAGTTAGAACAGAACAGAACTCTGCATGGACCAAAGAAAACTGCGGTGTGGCCGTGCTGAGCCCTGGGCCCGTCTTCGGCCTGAGCCTTGAAGGCAGAGGGATCTGAGGTGCAAGGAGGGCTCAGCCTTGTGAAGACTCCAGAATGAAGCTGGTAAAGCCTGCTTGAGAGTTACTGGAAGAGTCCATGAAGGGAAATGAACAGAACTGGAAGGCCGGCTTGGCATTCAATGGGTCATTAATTAAACCCTGTTTGCTTTCATCTCCCTTTATCGACATGGTCCTTTCTGGTTAACCTAAGTCTGAGATCTGTCAGAATAGGGTCAGTTCCCTCGCTCTGTGGCTAAGCCCGCCTTTGGGACAGCAGAGGTCTACCAGAGGTGTAACGCAGGCGAAGGGTGAGGAGGGGACAGGCAGTCAGTCAGTCCTACTGTCCCCTGAGGCCACTGTGCCCAGGAAGGCCTAAAGGCTGCAATAAGCATCGGAATCGTCAGCGAGGCTGTGCATTAGCTTCTTATGGCTGGGGCCGGGGATTGATTTAGCTCAGTGGTTTTGCTGCCTGCTGTACATGCATAAGGACCCAAGTTCGATCCCCGGTACCAAAAAAAAAAAAAAAAAGTTCTAGCTTATGGATGGCTCAAAGATTTTTCTTTTTTTTTTTTGGTATTGGGGATTGAACTCAAGACCTTTGTGTTGAGTTACATTTGCCATCCTTTCAAGTTTTTTATTTATTTATTTTTATTTTGAGATAGGGTCTAAGTTGCTAAATTTTCCAGGCTGAATTAAGAATTTGTGGTCCTCCTGCCTCAGCTTCCCAGAGTGCTAGGGATACAGCCGTGCACCACCAAGCCCTGCTGAAGCAAAATTCTTAATTCACAAGAGGTAAGAAAGAAACCTAGAGGTCACTTATGCAAGATGCTTAACTACCCAACAATCCCTGTGCCCTGTAAAAGTAAATATTTGAGCCTAGTTAATGGAGACAACTTGCCCCAAGAAGACTTGTGACAACTCTGGGTGAGGGGGCAAAACACTCACCCCCATTTCTTCGCCCAAGTGGCAGGGGTAGGGGTGGGGGGACTCCTAGTACTCGTCTGCCCAACATCTGGGCTGCAGCAATGCCTGCCCGGCCCTCTCGGGGCATGAGACTTCGGTGGAGCCAGGTTCAAATTCTCCGGGCAGGCGTCCCGCCAGCACCCCGGCGACAGGCAGGGCCCCCTCACCCACCTCCAGGTTGCGGACGGAGAGCTGCAGAGGTGATAGGAAGAAGTAGGGCACGCCGCTGCCCGCGCCCCGCGGCCCGTCGCTGAGCGAGAGCACGTCGGCGAAGGGCTGGCCGCGCACCGCCCGCAGCGCCGAGATGGTGGCCAGCGCACCCCAGTCGCTGACGTGCGTCACGAAGCGGGCCACGCGAGCCGCGTCCTCGCGGGGTGGCAGCGGCGGCATTGGCGTGGGGTTTTCCCAGTCCCCGTGGTTCTGGCCGCCGTAGCTCCGCGCTGGCGACAGCAACAGCGATAAGAGCGCGGACGCCAGCAGGGCGCGCGCGGAACCGTGGCCTCGGCCGGCCATGGCGACGTCTTTGGCAGAGGTCCCGCGAGGCGCTGCTTATGGGATCGGGGTGGCCATGCCCAGCCCCGCGCCTGACCACGCCCCCACCGGGACCAATCAGCGGTGAGCAGGCGGGCGGTGAGCAGCGGGGCGGGGCGGGACCTTATGCAAGGGAGAGGAAATCTGTTTATCTACCTTCTACCTACTCCACCGCCTCCAAGGATTGCGAATTTGCCCTCAATGGAATGTTTATTTTGTCTACAGGTGGGAGAAGGGAGGCTGGCAGAAATTAAGTAACTCGTCTAAGTCATATGGCTAAGAAATGACCGACTTCTTAACTCGCGGCGCGCACACCTTTGGGCATTGAACACCTGACGACCGAGGGGAGAGGCTGGGTCCCGCGCAGGCCTTCATCCGAGAGCAGCCAGGTCGGAGGTTTCGCGCGGGTGGTGCTTCCTTCTCTATCTTCTAAGGCTGCTCTCTCGCTCATTCCAGGTGGCCCACGTGCTTTGTCATTTCAACCCTTGTTCACATCTTTTCAGAGAATCTTAATCTTCTTGACCTGGCCACAAATCCCCCCTTTAATTACTGCTCCAAAGGTTTTGTGGTGATGCCCGTGTTTGTCAGCTTGGAAATCCAGCTCTGGGTGAAACCTGGCCCTCTGAGGCCGAGTCTTTTTTTTTTTTAAGAAGTACTTTGTCTCGGCCTCAGTAAGTCAGTCGTGTGGGCAGCAGGTATGTGAGCTCAAGTCCAGACTGTACTTCTCGTCTCAAACGCAGCCTCTCTATACTCTGCCAACTTCTCAGCAGAGACTTGACATTAACAAGATCCCTACTCTGAATAGGAGTTTTCTGTCCCCCTGGTGGCCAAATGAGGTCAAGCACACTGGTGCGAAGAGGATGGGGAGCAACGCTCACAGTCGGTTTTGCTTTTTAACCACTGAATTTGGAGTATTTCAAACCAGATGGAAAACTAAGTGGGAAAAATTTATAAAGAAGAAAGTCGAGTTCATCACTTGCAAAAAAATACTTAATACGAATAGTTTGAGTGCCGACCTATTACATATATTTTGTCCTTAACCTATTAACAAAAAGGCACACGTAATGTAACATTTGTAGTTCTAATCTCGTGTGTCCCGGTCATGTGTCCATGGGTCTTTCAGACTCTTTTTGGGCCTCAGCGTCTTCATCTAAAATGAGGAGCTGTGTTAGATTATTAGATGATCTCTGATACCCCTTCTAGCTCTCTATTTTTCTATTTAACATGCAAAATATGGGCCCCTCGTAGGTTTCACACAATATGAATTATTTTGCAAGAGGATGGCTCCATGGCATAACTTTTATTGCCATACCACTTATTGTTGGCATATGAAATAATAATAGACTTTATTATGACTCTGTTATAAAACTGGTGCCTAGAACTTGGTCACCAGCATGAGAGTGTGAGAGTGAGGCCTACAACTCCCCAGCTCTGCCAGTCTGTCTTGCACTTGCTGTTCCCTAACTCAGAATGCTCTTTGCCCAGCTACTGGTGTGAATATCTCTCTCCCACTCCGATTTCCACTCAGATATTACCTTCTTAGATCACTTTTTTTCAGAAGCCTTCCTGTTACTTACAGTCAGACAACCCTGTTTATTTCCTTCCTAGCCATCATTAAACCCTGTAGTGACTGTATTTAGTTACTTGCGTGTTAACTGTCTTGGCTGCCCCAGTGGAAGGTCCAGGAGAGCAGGAATGTTGTCTGTCTCGTTCACCTCCACATCCCCAGCATACATATTTGTTGAATGACTGCCTGACTTAATACATAATAGCCGATGGGATTCTTTGCACACAGATCTGTATAAAAACAACAGTAGGAAGTGAGGGTGACTGGATTGAGATTTTCAAGTATAACAGGGGCTTTAGGTCTTAATTAGCAAACCCACCTCACTGAGTTGACCCACAAGTGGCTGAAGTAATCATTCAGATGTTGCTATGGCTTCTCCTGACGTCCTGTCTATTGGAACAGCCTGCACTGGCCCCTACCCTCACAGGCCCACCATGAAATAGCTCTCTTCTCCTCGTGTCCAGGTTTGATCTTGTGGAAGGACCCGCAAGCTCTTTCCCATGCTGTTTCCTTGTTTATTTGTCTAGGAGCCACCAGCCGTAGTTCTTCTAGGTCAGGAACAGTGGCTTTGTCATCTCTGTGACCCAGCACCAAGCACAGTGCTGGGCATCTAGCGGGTACCTGTTGCATGGTATTGGCATCAGAACAGTTATACCAAGTGCTGAGGGTAATCAGGCTGTCTGCAATTCTCTTAACAGCTCAGGGTTTAATGATGACAAACTTTTTGCTTTGTGATACGCACACTTCAAATCAGAGCCAGTGAAGTGCTGGAGAGCGCTAACCTTAAAGTCAGTCACTTACACTTGACCTTATATAGGATGACACTGAGGCTCAATTTCTGATCATTAAAAAGGAGGAAATAATAATTCCTACCTTATTTGATTTTTATGGGGATTAAGAGAGACAATGCATTTAAAATACTCAGGGTAGTGCTTAGAACATAGGAAGTATTCGATAATTGTTAGCTATGCATTAGTAATTGTTAGCTTTTGTTCTACTATTTTGGTCTTTTTTTGTTGTTGTTCAGTACTGCAGACTGAAACCAGGGCCTTTGCATGGAACTACATCCCCAGCCAGCCCCCTTTAAATTTCTTGTTTCAAGATAGGGTCTCACAAGTCCTTAGGTTGCTCAGACTGGGCTCAAATTCACAATTGTGCTTCAGCCTCCCAGAGTGCTAGGATTACAGACCTGTGCTAGCACACCTGGCTTGTTCTTGTTTTCCACTCTGTAAATCTGTAGGTTGCTTTATTTAATCTCTTTTTGAGCCTGAATAATTTCCATTGCAGCCCCTGGAAAGAAAAAAGAAAGTCTCCAGAAAAAGTAATGTTATAAACACTAAGGAATTCCCCCAGGTAGCTACTGAGGAAGAAGTTTCATAGCTCACCCTATTTGAAGAGGCAAATGCATATACATAATATTTTCTGTTAAGCAGATGTGCTTCCGTCCATAATTCTTCTCATTTCTCTTCACTTTAATCAAGTATTCCCAGAACTTAAAAGCTAGTAATAAAAATCTGCTGTTTTGCTTTTCTATGTACATTTACATTTAGCTAACAATTATTTTCCAGATGTTTGGGAATAATTCTTGATACTGCTAAATCTAGAGGACTTGTTTTCTAAGTGTGTTGACAGTGCTTAGCATATAAAATTGGTGCTAATATCTTTTGGATTATGTCTTTTAAATAAAAAATATATGAACTAGGCTTAAAAACAATATTTAATTCAGTATTTCAATATGTCCAAAACACTAAACAGGAAAAGAAAGTTATCTATGAATCAGAAAAAAATGATAAAATTAGAATTGCCAACCCTTCACATAATCACCATAGTAATTTAAAAGCAGCAATTAAAGGGTGCCTACACCAAAATATATGTTGCCTGCAAGATGCCAAAATTTCTGCTTCTTGTGCATACAGCAAGTATGCATTGAGTGCCAAAGAACCCCTGGGCACTGTGATAGGCACAGAGAACCCAAATAGTACGAGAAATTGTCCTTATCTTTAAGGCAAATTCCTGCCTCATTAACTCACAAATAAGCAAAGGATCATCCCATGTCATTGGTGCGATGTAGAGAACTATAAAAGAATGAAAAAAGCTTGGGAGAAGGGACTTAGGCCAGCCTCGAGGGCAGCTTCACATCAGAGGTAGTTCTCCAGTTGGAACTTGAAAGATGAAAAGGACCACGGCAGACAGTGGTGAGGTGGGAGAAGGCGAAGGAGGAGGAAGAGAAATAGAAGGTGCCGAGGCAAGAGTGCATGGTATGTCAGAAAAAGCAACCATAATCAACAGGGTGTGGAGAACAGATAGTGGGAGACAAACACATTCTTGGGTAGGGGAAATGTATCACCTGAGGAGAGATTTTGACTTTGGGAAGCCACAGAAAATGCTTATGTAAGAAAATCACGCTACAGAATAGATTCAGGAAAGGAAGTACAAATTTTTCTGAAGGTGAGATGAAAGTGTCTTCTATACTCACTGTATGACTAGGACACTCAGGTGAATTAACTAAACAGCTATTAGAATGAAGTAAGAGAATTCCAACAGGTAGCTAGACGCAAGATAAACCTAAAAGCCCATATCTGTCCTATACACTAGAAAAGGCAGTGAAGGGCCGGGGATTTAGCTCAGTGGTTCCGCCGCCTGCCTCGCAAGCGCAAGGACCTGAATTTGATTGCCGGTACCAAAAAAAAAAAAGGCAGTGAAAAAGGTATAATTCACAAGAGAAACAAAAGAAGAACATAAAAAAGTCATGCTTATTTTTTAATATCAATGAGCAGTTTTTTTCTAAGTTAGTCTATTAAATCAGTGAGCTTCCAAGCAAAATCCCTACAGGATTTTCTAATGGAAGTTGATGATCTCATTCTGAAATTTGTTTGGAGTTGTAACTGCATAGGGATAACCAAGAAATGTTTGTAGAAGAAAGAGTAGTAAGAGAGAACTTGCCCTATAAATATCAGATATTCTATAATGTTACCAAGGAATGCAAAGATAATATAATCTAAATCTTTAAAACATAATTTAAACAAACACTAAAATATTTATAGGACTTAAGTCAATTTTGCTAACTTGTAGTTTTATAAGAAACAAATATATGTATACACTGAAAAAGTTTGTAAGTTAAGTGACAGTAATTAAGACTGTAGGAACTATTGTAGGAACAGACACATTGGTACAGGCTGGATCCTTCAGAAGCAGACACTGACCTACAGTTTGGCTTACAGAATACTTGCTAAGGATCAATACCCAGGAAGAAGACAGAACAGAACTGGGGAGGGGGGTGTCAACCTGCAGGCCAACCTGTCAGAGTCCCTCCCCACAAGGCATTCTGAGATGTAGATGGCCCATCAGAGGGTGTCAACATATGACCATTCATTAGATGCAAATTAAAAGCACAATGAGACAAGACCACATACCCAACAGAATAGGTAAAATCAGAAAAGTTGACAAAGCCAAGTGTC